TTTTTTTTTGTTGGGGGGGGGGGTCTGAGCTTTCCGAAGGGTTAGCTCCTGGTTTGCCATCTCATCTCGCTGTTGTGAGAACTGCAAAGGATCAAGCCATGCTAGGCATGAGGAGCCTTCGGTCCAAAAACCCGAGATCTTGTTCCGAGACACCGAAGCTGTCAGAAGGGCGCATGAATAGGTATGAATAGTTAGTAGTCCAGTGGCGTCCAATGCAGTACTTTCCTTTGCGTTACATAGTACGTTTTTGTATAGCGCCCCAAAACCAAAATTGAATACTTCAGTCCGTTGTACTAAAACAAGCTTGGTACAGGAGCATCATGCTGTGCTCGACATAGGCAGCCACGTTCATCCAGAAGTACAAGGTGGGGATGGGGCAACGTCTACCAGAGACCGGTTCTTGGTTGGTTGTACTTGGAAAGATTTATGATGGCAGGGTTCAAAGACAAGGCATGACCTTTGTGCAATTAATATGGGTTTTTGAATCGAGCTGTTGGTTTTTCGTTTCGAGCATGAGTGGCAAAGAGTGCCTGTGAGAGCTACACGAGTTACACGAGACTCATAGATTCATTAATACATGGGCAGTTCTCTAAATTAGAGTCCCTTTTAGGGTCCTTGTTATAAGGGTGCCGTACAATACCGGGGAACTAAAAAGGGGATCCTAGTTCAGAGAACTACTCAAGTGTATCTGGTGCAAGAATGTGACGGATATATCTCCGGAGCAGGCGGCAGGCATGCTGGCATTGCAGTGCTGGCCGACGACCATTTTCGGGAGAGCCTGGCTTCGAATTCCAGATTCAGTTTCCAAGTCTTTGAGGAAGGGCTCAGTGTCGGCTTCTCATTAGAGCTCGAACTGGTTGACATGTAGTATTTGACGTAACCGTAACCCTAATGGCTATGCCCTGAATTCTCAACCATGAACCCTGCCAGGATCCCCCTTGATCCCTCTAAAGACCTGAACTGGGCCCTTGTTGGATACAATTTTACATTTTTGTTATAATAAACCCAATAAGGATTAAAAATTACCATTTTTAATAAGGCCCCAACAGGGACCCAGTGAAGCCTTAGCCCGAGGAGATATGCCAACCAGATCCAGAGCGTTCGCTGCTACGCGAGGGCGCAAGGCCAGCTCCGAACTGGTGCCTCTCTGATCCTGAAGTATATTTTCAGCGTTCAAGGGTAGGCGTAAGTAGGGCGTCACGTATGGAGGCATGTTGGATTAGAGTAGCAGATCAAGTTGCGATGAGGAAGTGGTAACCGTTCTTAGTGCGACCGGTGAAGAAACACATAGGTTGTTGCTGAATTCAGCAAGTCCTGGTCCATACTTGTTGAAATCTAGACTCTGGACCGCATAGCAGCACTTTTTCTTGAGAAGGAAAGAGCTTGGCGGCTCCGGTGTCAGGCTACGACCTTTGGCTTCTCAGCGGTGGTGAATTCACCGCATGTGCCGAGCGCCTCCGCTGCAAGGGCTCGCGGGCACGGTTGAGGCAAAAAGCCTACGCAGGAACCCTGGAGCCTGGGAAAACTTAAAACCTTCAATAGAGGCCCAGGGGACTCAGTAAGTAGGTTATAAGTAGATTTATAAGGACCCTAAATGGAGATACCCCAAGAAGCACCCAAGTACCCTATTCCCTGAAGGCAACGAGCTTTTACCCCTGAGCGCAAAGCCCTTCGCTGTAAGTCCCTGCCCTGAGGCTTTGGAAAGCCCAGAATGGCTACTTCTTCTTGAAGCACTGCGCGGCTGCCAGCCTGCTGCAGGCGCAGGAGCCGGGGCCGCTCGGCTGGGAGAAGCGAGTTCTGTGAAGCACGATCTCAAACCTTTTGGCTTCCCTGATCAACTTTGCGGTGTTCTTACAAAAGGGGGCCTCATTATAATTATTGCTCCCCCATAGCCCTCAAAACCCCATCCCTCACAGCCCTAAACCGTCGTACCCTGCAATGCGCCTTGCCAGCCTTATACAAAAATGAGAGTCGAAACCGTCAACCTTGTTTCAGCCAGGTATAGCCTGGCTGTGCTCGACTCCGACGTCGTGGCCGCCGCATTAGATCGAAGCCTTGACCGGTGTCCTGGCAGCTGAGATAAGGTGGTCAGGGCTTAGGGTTCCTTTCGAAACGTAAAGGTTCCTAGGACGTTTGGCTTGAGGGGTCGACATCAGCCATCCTCAGGCACGAGCACTGTTTCAGGCTATCCTTCCCTTCCCACTCCTTTGCATACTCCGTCATGCCCCAGCCAAATGCGCATTACTTAAGCACGCAGGAGTCTACCCATAATCATATTAAGAATCTGGCCTGTTTGAAACAAACTCTTAAGGATGAACTCTGGCTATTTGACGCAAACTCCTTCAGGAGTTTTCCTGAAGCTTAGACCTTAAACCTAAACCCTAAACCCTCAACCGTGGCTCTTAGACCTTAAACCTAAACCCGAAGCTCATTGCGAGGGGTAGATTTTAGGGGGGGGGGGGTCTTCTCCAGGTGGATGCAGAGCCGAGCGGACCTCCAGTTCTACGAACGCAACACGGTGATAATGTTATATGGTTAATATACCCATAGAATGTTACATACTACACTATACTATACTATACTGTACTATACTGCACTATACTATGCTATACTACTATATTACATGATATCATACTATGTTATAGCAGATTACCAGACTTGCTTTCGGGTATTGTTTGCGGGTGCTGAAAGCTCAGGGGACTTTGTAAGCAGGCTACGAGTAGTCGTAGAGCTGCAAGTAACCCGATCTGATAAACCTTAGTTGATTTTCGCTTACTTAGTAGTAGGTAGTAAGCGCTTTAGCATCCTTTACTCCTTCGGGTAGGGCTCGTAGTCTTCAGGTGCTACTTGCATGCTCTCCGACTTTTGGGGCGAGGTCTACAGAACTGTTCCGAAAGAGCTTGCGATTCTGCTGCGCATTACTCTAGATTCATGGCTTTGGGCTCTTACCAGAGTGCCCTTAAACCCCAATTCCCAAGTCCCAGGAGCCAACTCCGAATCAACCAGCCACGAACCTTGAACCGCAAACTCTGGGGCCTTTCCACATACCGGACATACCGCGGTGAGTGGAGAACCTCATCCGAGCATGAGAGCACAGAGCCTGCACCTGACGTCTAAGTACAGAAGCCTGCCCCTAACATATTTATATTCAATTACTCTAATATACCCCAAGCCTTATTCTAATCACCAGGCCCCCTAGGTCAAACCATAAATCCTCGGTCTCCGAGGCATCACCGGCGAGGAGGTCATGGCCGGTACTTGAGCTGCACCTGTGAGCCCTCCCCGTAGTTTCGGGAAACATAACGTGCCGCATGCAGACTCCAAGCTTGTGTATAGGTGCCCATCCAAAGAAGGGGCCCTAGCCCTGAGTTTGAAAAGACACGGAGCCCAAACTTTATAGGGTGACAATCGAGCTTCTTCGAAGACGCGAAATAGTACGAGTTCTAAGTTGCGACAGTTGGTCACAGCAGTAAGGAAAGCTTCTTTGTACAATGTTCTGACCGCACTTAGCTGCAGCACCTATCACCCCTTTTATGACTTCCCAGATAACTGCAGGGAGGCACGTGAGTTATGTGTTCATGGCAAACCTTAGCACCAGATGCTTAACGATCTCGTTGTGGTCCCTGCACGAGTATACCATAACCTGCAACAAAACGTGTTCTGACTGCCGAGAGAGTGTGTTGTCAATATGCCGTTCCGCAGCCATGTAGCATGAACCAGAATCACAGCCTAAAGGCTATGATCTTGTGTAGTATCTAGGTTCAGCTTTGCTGCACGGCACCCACATCTTCAGACATTTAGAGGTTTTGCTTTGCTGTGAAAAGTAGTGCTCGCGTGTGCGCTGCCATAGGATCCTGTTTGAGGCTCCCCGCGAAGGGGTTATGAGCCCAAGACGCTCCTGAGGAAGCGAAGAGCTTCAGGCGCTGCCCACTCCGGCGCGATGGAGACCTCAGGTGACGGATCTGAAGAGCGCGGGCCGGATCCTACTGTAGAGCCGGTAGCTCCAGGAGTGCAGCTGGACCAGGCTGAGCTGGAGGTGGAGGCCCGAGGTACGGGAGAGCAATTGAGGATGGCTGAGGATGAGGTCCTCGAGCCGCCTTATGGCGAACCGGAACCCGTGGAGCCGAACCCGGCAGATGTAAGCCCTGGACCAGCAGAGGGAGCACAACCGGAAGCGGATGAAGGGGAACCACGTGGTGAGGAGACCCTGGCATCCTTGAGACACCCGGAGACGGTGTCTGCGGCCCCCGTGGAGGAGTCGCCGGAATCCTGGGGACACTCGGAATCGAGGCAGTCTGAAGAGTCCTCTAGACTTCAGCAGTTGACGAGCGTGTTGGAGACCCTGGTTCAGGGGCAGCAAGCCTTGAACAACCGGCTGGAGAGAGTGGAGGAGGTCCGTTCCAGCCACTCGTGGAGATCTGCGGAGTCTTCACAAGGGTTGGGATGGGTCGACCAGACTGCGTTGGATAGGTGGTATACGGAGGCAACAGCTCGCGCTGCTGCCTCCGGCCACCGGGATGCGAGCATGTACATAGCAGGTGATGTACAGAGTTTTCCGAGGCCAGGTGAGCTGGCAAACCCGTGGCTGAGGCCGCCTGGATGGTGGACATCGAGGCCTGAAGTAGGAGTAGGTGGTGTAGGAGGGTGTGGTGGTCCCTCTCCTCCCCCTGGATTTGGAGGGCAATCGGCACCGTGGACTTTTCCTCATCCGCCTCCATTCCCACCTCTGTCTTCGCCACTTTGCCCACCACTCATTGGCCAGACTCCCTGGCCGCTCAATCCTCATGATGGCCCGGACCGTTCGCTACAGCAAAGGTTTGAGGCTCAGATGTTGTCCGAGGCCTCAGCAGTGCCCCTGCCTGATCGTTCGTTGCAAGCAGGCTCTGAGGCACAGGCGTTGCCAGATCGTTCGTGTTCGTCAGGTCCTGAGGCGCAGGCTTTGCAAGATCGTACGTTGCAGCACAGGTCTGAGGCACAGGCGTTGCAAGATCGTACATCGCAGCACAGGTCTGAGGCACAGGCGTTGCAGGATCGTGCAGCACAGCAGAGGTCTGAAGCCCAGGCGTTGCAGGATCGCGCATCGCAGCAGAGGTCCGAGGCACAGGCATTGCAAGATCGTGCATTGCAGCAGAGGTCTGAGGCACAGGGTGTAGGGCGTAAGCGAGGGGTTGAGGAAGCCAAGTTGGCCGGGGGAGGATCGGAATCGAGTGCGGCTGTGAGCACTGCGACCAAGGCTACCCTCAGTGTCGGAGGCGACAGCTCTGTGACTGAAGAGCTGGTTGGAGCCACGGTGGCGCCGACTCCCCAGCCCACCTTACCGTCTGGCACCAAGCTTCAGGTCAGGATTGATGGCCAATTGCGTGATGTTGTGGTGAATGAGAATGGAGGGTTGGAGACTGGCCCAGCGCAGTATTACATTGGAAGTCTTCGAAACGCCTCGCCACCAGGGACTAGGAGTAGCAGTGTTCCTAGGGCTCCAGCTACGACCCCACCGTCGACCCCTAAGATAGGAACCTCGCCTGGGCTAAGCTCGACGCCAGGGGGAACACCCGTCCCTGCAGGACCGGCTCCTGCCAGCCCTAAGGTGACTACTAGCGCAACCCCTAGTAAGCCGGAGGAGCCGAGTCGCCACATCACTGAGCTCCCGGCCTCGGCGGAGCCACGACAGCGCTCTCAGGGCGCCGTCCTTGCAGGCGATTGGCTAGCAGCTGTGGCGCCGTTGATGAGGCAGCTCTCTTCGAGTGCCCAGACGTGGTGGGCACAGAATCTAAGGGAGGCAGAGGACCACTATGAACGGTGGCTCCGCGCGACGCCCCAGCAACGGTTGCAGGTGAAGGCGTCGGCGATGGCGAAGAGCTTTGATGCCGGAAAGTACTGCTTAGTGGAGCAGAGGGGGGTGCAACTCCTTCTGAAAGCAGTCCCCGATAGCTTTCGGACAGACCTGATTGCGACGCGGACGCTGGCGGTCAATGCCATCATCTTCGCCATCCTGTGTCGGTGGCAGCCTGGAGGCAAGTTGGAGCGTGCACAGGTATTGGATTACCTGGTTCATCCGGAGGCTTCGAGCTCAGTGGAAGAGACGGTGGAGGGCATCAGGAAATGGAGACGCATGGTGCTGAGAGCGAGCGAGCTCGGGGCAGTCCTTCCGGACTCGAGTCTGCTGCTAAAAGGGCTCGACTCGTTGACCCAACCGGGGTTGGGGGACCATCCAGTCGTGTCCTTCCGGGTGGCTGCGTACCGGAATGAGTCTGGGGTTGATTTTGCCCCCACACAGGCCAAGGTTGCGGAGCTGGCGGAATACCTCCTGGCCGAGTACGAGGCCCTCTCCATCCAAGAAGACCCTCGGGCACAAGGACCCAAGCGACCCCGTGCCGCAACAGCCAAGGCTGCCGCCGCAAAGGTGGAGGCGAAGGCAGGTGCCGAGCAGTCCGGTTTAGTGCCTCCCCCTGCTCCCCCTAAGGCCGCCTCGGTTGGTGCTGGTGATAAGAAGGTGTGCCGGTTTTGGGGTTCTACTCAGGGGTGTAAGAAGGCAGCCTTGTGCCCCGATTATCACGATCGGGCGTTGTTGAAGGGCACTCGCAGGTGTTGGGCATGTTCTAGTGACCAGCACTTGAAGCCCGACTGCCCTTGGGGCCCTCCAGACGGACAAGCTGCAGCAGCGCCGAGTGCCAAGAGCGCAGACTCAGGGACCAAGGGAGGAAAAGGGCCGAAGGGCACCGGGAAGGGTGGCAAGGCCAGAAAAGGCGATGGTGCGTCTAAGCTCCAAAAGGCACAGGAGCAGGAAGCAGGAGAAGGCCAGGAAGTTGGGACAGGTGCCGCCCCGACTACCACCGCCGACTTGTTGAAGGAGGCCACCGA